TTTTTTTTTTTTTTTTTACAATTTTTAAAACTCATTTATATATTATACAAGAATGACATCCACGGCGCCAATTTATAATTGTAACAAATAGTTTTTGAATAAAAGCATTTAATCGGGTAAAACCCGGGCGTTGCCCGGGTTAGAATAAGTATAGATATTTGTTTAGGAAATCAAAACGCTAAGTACGACATTGAGGAATTTCACTTTGAAATTGGCGGCAAAGAGTTGACGAAAAACGTCTGTAAGTAAAAATAAAAGGTTGAACGATATTGCATCATTATAAGTCTATATAATCCCAACCTCTGTCCACTAAAGATAGTGGAAGGTTTTGAGAAATGCCATTTGGTCTTAAACCCAATAAATTGAAAACCCATTTTTGCTCCTTCTAATGTGAGTAAAAATCTGATAGAGAGCGGGCAACATCTTAATGGAATGGCTAACACAAAAGGAGGATTGAATGAAAGCCGGGATAAGCTTTCGACTTTATCCTTGTAATGAAGAATGACACTCTCTTATCCAGGTGGTGAATCGTCCCAAAAGACGAAAAAGCCAAATTTATTTCGCCAATGGCATAGATGAAAGAAGGAACTGGCAAACCACTTCATGCACTGATGAGAAGACTATATGCATCATATTAAATTGGAGAATATTTGTCCATAGAGTCACCAAAAATCGAACTCGACTTGATGGACGCTAAAAAACACAATGTCAATCCATAAAAAATTATTTTAAACAATATTTTATTTGAATCTTTATCTACACCGAACATTTGAGGAATATAACATTTGTGTACATGCCAAAAGTAATTATAGTATAAAATTAGTAGAATCCAATCCTAAATTATCGCCCAGCTCATCAGTGGTGAAGTCTCCAGCAGATCTACCTAGTCATCTAAATTTATCACATTGTTAATTCTGTTCATATAGGTAACGCATAAAGTATACTCATTGAAATGATATTTAGAGACAATAGGAATAATGCTTTTAGATAGGTTGTTAAAGACATTTTTGTATAAAAATTATATAGTAAACAACATTTATAATATATATATATATATAGAGAGAGAAAGAGAAAGTTTTCAACTAGCAATAATCGCGCCTCGGAAGATCCTCATTGGCTACGATATCGCCTCTGCGCAAAGCTAGAGAGAGAGAGAGAAAATATTGTTTTACGGGCTACTAACCAAAGGTTATGATTTTTGAGCCCAAACTCGATGTCAGGTGGCAAGGGACCCTAGGATCTGGCGGCAGGAGATATCTCGCAGGGGTGGTGGAAACGTTGGGCAAGCAGGGGAACAGCGCCAGGGTGCAGTGAGGCGGGTGCCTTGAATAGGCCAGGAATCCAGGAGAAATGGCAGATGGAATTGGAGGCAGAAGGTCCTTTAAGCCTAGAACTTGAGGGCCCTAGACTTCAGGATGGGGCAGCTTGAGGCTCTCGCCTCGTGCTTGTCAGGAAGGCCCTTGGAGCAGCAGTTGGCACATTTGGAGGTGCGCTGGTCAGCAATGGATGGGCAGGTGCGGCCTTCATGGCCGTCTTCACCGCAGTGGAAGCACTTAGGATCTCTGGTGCATTGGGCAGAGTTGTGGCCGAAGCCACAACAGCGGAAGCAGACGCGGGCGCGGATGGACTCCTCGAAGTTGAGGATTACTCCATCCACCACGATCCTCCCGCCATGATTGCAATCTTCCAGGAAGAAGAAGGTCTTTGAACTTTAGTTTTATGGATCCTGGGCAGTGACCTTTACTTCCTGGATGATGCAATCCTGTTAATGGTTGTTCCCTTTTTCGCGAAACCTAACTTTTATTAAATCTTCTGACGATACATTACATAGATTGTGGTGGGATTACATATTGCTATATACAAATTATCACATATGTATGTATATATATATAATACATTTGAATGATTGAAAGTAAATTTCCAGTTTAGCTTTGTTCATTGTTTCTCTCTCCCTCTCATTTCCTTAAATTCAATTTTATGTATGCAAATAAAACCAATATCTCTAAATTCAATTGTACAATATAAATCTTTTAATATGTAAATTTTAAAGCAGTTAACATGTATGTAAATTTTGTTTTGTATAAAAGATTTGGAAAATAAAGAGAGAGATGATTGAGGTGGAGACAGCCACAAACGACTGCTAATATTTCACACATCTATAGTAGAATTACATCAGCAAGTCGACAGGATCGCTGCCTACGGGAAGATCCCAAGAATATCTTATATTTTATCAAGACCAAAGCAAGGTTCCTGCCAGGAATATTTAAAGAAAAGAAAAAAATATTCTTACATACAACGGTAAGAATTTAAAATAAATTCGAAATGACACCGAAGAAAGACTTGAAAATTTTACAGAAAGAAGAGGTTGTTACCGGAGCGAAAATAGACATTTCAATTAAAGATATTTTGCCGATTTTCAACCCTGATACAGGCCTTACGTATCAAGAATGGCGAAATCTTTGTGAAAGGATAGTCAAGCTTCAAAGTATTTCAGAAAATGATGCTCTATCAATGATCACGAGCATTTTTAAAGGAAAAGCGTTAGAGATATACGCCTCGATGTGCCAGGACGTGTTTACGTTGGGTGAACTTCACCAAGCTATGAATACATTTTTCCCGGTATCGACAAGTGGATTGATGAAGCAATTTTGGACTGAAAAGAAGCCAACTACACCTTCGTATGGACTCATGGGTAATTTACCACTAGCTGAGAAACCATTTGATGTAGTTGCCCTTGACAGTATTTTAGGATCAGGGGATTATAACAGTACAAAGAATTGTCTTCATGTGATAGTTGATCATCACTCAAGATACATCTGGGCTTATCCTTCTAAGAGTACGTCTATAGCAACGTACATCAATATAATAAATCAGTTATTAAATGTAGGAAAACCAAAAATTATTGTTACTGATAGGCACCCCTCATTTGTGTCCAAAAGGTTTAACAAATTTATACAAGAAAAGGGCATAAAACACGTAATGACATCCCCTTCGCACCCACAATGTAATGGGATTGTAGAAAGGGCGAATGCGACTATTATCTCAAAACTTAGACTTCACCATCAACAAAATCCCAGAATACCATGGCCCAAATTATTACAAAAGGCCTTAGAAGAATATCAGAGTATTCCTCATTCCATAACTAAAATGCCTCCCGTTTAATTCCTTTTTGGCATAACGCCATCATATATCAATCTACTTATATAATTGCCTTATTCTGTCCGTCTGAAGTTCACGGATAGAATGCGCGCCCATTGGCTGCCTGCGAACACGTGACCTCCCTGCCACCCTCTAGACAACCCTGTTATCAGCTGTGTGATACATACACCTGTCTATAGCGGCCATTCTAGACAACCCTGTTATCAGCAGTGTGTTACATCCACCTGTCTATACAGACCACCCTGTCTATAGCGGCCACTCTAGACACCCCTGTTATCAGCAGTGTGCTACATCCACCTGTCTATACAGACCACCCTGTCTATAGCGGTCACTTTAGGCAACCCTGTTATCATCAGTGTGTTACATTCACCTGTCTATACAGACCACCCTGTATATAGCGGTCACTTTAGGCAACCCTGTTATCAGCAGTGATACATCCACCTGTCTATACATACCATCCTGTCTATAGTGGCCACTCTAGACAACCCTGTTTTCAGCTGTGTGATACATCCACCTGTCTATACAGGCCACCCTGTATACAGCGTCCACTCTAGACAACCCTGTTATCAGCTGTGTGATACATACACCTGTCTATAGCGGCCATTCTAGACAACCCTGTTATCAGCAGTGTGTTACATCCACCTGTCTATACAGGTCACCCTGTCTATAGCGGCCACTCTAGACACCCCTGTTATCAGCTGTGTGATACATCCACCTGTCTATACAGACCACCCTGTATATAGCGGCCATTCTAGATAACCCTGTAATCAGCTGTGTGATACATCCACCTGTCTATACAGACCACCCTGTCTATAGCGGTCACTTTAGGCAACCCTGTTATCATCAGTGTGTTACATTCACCTGTCTATACAGACCACCCTGTCTATAGCAGTCACTTTAGGCAACCCTGTTATCAGCAGTGATACATCCACCTGTCTATACATATCATCCTGTCTATAGCGGCCACTCTAGACAACCCTGTTTTCAGCTGTGTGATACATCCACCTGTCTATACAGGCCACCCTGTATACAGCGTCCAATCTAGACAACCCTGTTATCAGCTGTGTGATACATACACCTGTCTATAGCGGCCATTCTAGACAACCCTGTTATCAGCAGTGTGTTACATCCACCTGTCTATACAGACCACCCTGTATATAGCGGCCATTCTAGATAACCCTGTTATCAGCTGTGTGATACATACACCTGTCTATAGCGGCCACTCTAGACAACCCTGTTATCAGCTGTGTGATACATCCACCTGTCTATACAGACCACCCTGTATATAGCGGCCATTCTAGATAACCTTGTTATCAGCTGTGTGATACATACACCTGTCTATAGCGGCCACTCTAGACAACCCTGTTATCAGCTGTGTGATACATCCACCTGTCTATACAGACCACCCTGTCTATAGCGGCCACTCTAGACACCCCTGTTATCAGCAGTGTGCTACATCCACCTGTCTATAGCGGCCACTCTAGACACCCCTGTTATCAGCAGTGTGCTACATCCACCTGTCTATACAGACCACCCTGTCTATAACGGTCACTTTAGGCAACCCTGTTATCATCAGTGTGTTACATTCACCTGTCTATACAGACCACCCTGTCTATAGCGGTCACTTTAGGCAACCCTGTTATCAGCTGTGTGATACATCCACCTGTCTATACAGACCACCCTGTCTATAGCGGCCACTCTAGGCAACCCTAGGAAGCAAGATGTATACAAGATGTAGACAAGATGAAGATCTACTTATATAATTGCCTTATTCTGTCTGTGTGAAGTTCACTGTGTGAAGTTCACGGATAGATTTTGGTCAGAATGGATAAAATAAAAAAAGTGTCAAGGGATGGGAATCGAACCCACGACCTTCCGCTTACCGGGCAGTCTACTTATATAATTGCCTTATTCTGTCTGTGTGAAGTTCACGGATAGCTTACCGGGCAGATGCCATGACCACTAGGCTATAGGCTCATTATTTCTTTATACCATTATTATACCGTTATATTATATATAGTTAAAACATTTTAAAAACACACAGTTTGGAACGGGACGTTTCACAAGAGTGACATCCATGGCGCCAATTTATAATTGTAACGAATAGTATTTGAATTAAAACGTTTTTAATATATATTCGCACTCGGGTAAAACCCGGGCGTTGCCCGGGCCATTCGTCTAGTAATTTAACAAGAGCATATCCACCCATAGAAGAGGCTAGGAGAATTGCAAATGAAAATACAGAAAAATTACATCTTAAATTGGTAAAAAGATATAATGAATCCCATAAAACGCCTAATCTAAAAATAGGTGATAAGGTCCTTTATAAGATCCCTTACCAATCAGGTCAAGGTAAGCTTATGCCAGCCTTTTACCCAGAACCATACACCATAATTTCCATACCCTCACCACAAACCATAGAAATAGATAAGCCATGCCAACCCGAAAATAAGCATGCAACAATAGTTAAAATTTCTAAAGCTCTGGGATCCGGTAACTGAAGATAATACTGAACCACCATTCCCATTTCAGGAAGAAGAGGATTTGGAAGGATGCTTGGGTGTCGAACCTAACAAGCAAGCTTCCACCGATAGTCCTCAGGTTTTATTCTCTTCCATTAAAATAAATCCAGATCACCCCACAGAGCCCCTGGAGAAACTACTGCTGGTTTCGGTAGACACCCAAACTGAATCGGAACCAGTTGTATCCTGTGAGGTTTGACAAAGGTGGAAGAGGTCATATAAATTCCAAGAACTGGGGTGCGATTCATTGGGAAAATAACTAAAAGTTGCCCTGGAATAGAATTCTACAAGGAGAGTGTCTCCATAGACATGTAATGTCCAAATTTTAAAATATCATTTTTTTTTCTTCCTGCCTATTGTTAGTTAGGTTTTGTAGGGCCACCTTTTCCTGTGATTTTCCCCAACTAACAGGCTTTGGTCGCCTTTTACCTCTAACAATATGGTTTCTTGTGTAAATACAATTACTTGTGTAATATAATTTTTGGATTTTTTTTCTTTCAAAATGTATCTTATCCTTTACCTTCCATCCCCTCCCAACCTCCGTTGAGAAAAAAATTAATACTATTTTTTTTTTTTTGTGGGGGTAGTGATACATTTTGAATGATAGAAAGTAAATTTCCAGTTTAGCTTTGTTCATAGTTTATCTCTCCCTTTCATTTCCTTAAATTCAATTTTATGTATGCAAATAAAACCAATATCTCTAAATTCAATTGTACAATTCAAATTTTTAATATGTAAATTTTAAAGCAGTTAACATGTATGTAAATTTTGTTTTTGTATAAAAGATTTGGAAAATAAAGAGAGAGATGATTGAGGTGGAGACAGCCACAAACGACTGCTATTTTTTCACACATCTATAGTAGAATAACATCATATATATACAGTAGAACATCCAGTTAGAGGCCATATCATGAAGATGGAAAGAACTATTTTTTTTTTCGAATCGAACAAACGTTCGACTCCCCTTACTGCTGAGACTAAATAATAAGGAAGGTATGGCTCTCTCATCAGTAGTGAACACTCCTATCGGTTTCGCCAGTTTACTCAACCATACCACTTTATAGATAGCATCTCTTGTATTGGGCGATTGCGCTTACATATCCGACACTGTAGGAGGAACCATGGTTGAGGTATTTGTAGGTCCGCGTTTGAAACAATTATGAAAGTATTAATGTGAAAATACCAGACCTCTAGGAATAGGTTTTTAAAAATATTTTTATTCACAAATCTATCTAGCTTTCGCGCCCGGAAGCCCGATTTTATTCTATCGTGTTTTTCTCTTGTAGAAAGGTTTCCGTTCCCGGAAGCTAGAGAGATATTTATGAATAAAAATATTTAAAAAGAAACCTAACCCAGTAGGTCTGATATTTTCACCATAATATTAATACATGGGATTATTTTTATCGAAATGATGAAAGAAGTAAACATATGTTTATTCAATTTCATGTACATACATATAAGAAATGAGAAACACGTCTGCGCTGAGCGTGAACAAAACAGTTAGGGTAAGACAAAAAGAAAACGGGCGTTTGCCGGAAGGCAACGCCTATTGGTCAGTGTCGAACAGCGCCATCTCGTCTGTGCCGATTGCAACGGGGGTTTCACACGCTACCTTCTAACAGTATTCAAGTAATATATGGACATAAGCTAACAGGACAGTAGAATTAAATATATATATATTATAAATGAAAAGAGTTTCGGCTGTTATGAGATTAATTGCTTGTAGAGGAATTATTGGTCATTTGTTTGATCTTGAAATCTATGAGTATGTGATATTTTTCTGCGGTCGTGGTAATAATTAAATAATAATAATAAAAATAGTTATCACAAAAAATAACTTCAATTGAACTAAAGGAATATTGTAGCGTAGAAATCAAGTCTTTGTATATATCTGGAGATGTGAAAGTATTTATTGATAACGTCACCACGACCAGTCGACAAATATTGACAAATTAACCTCAACTTTCTACAGCTAGAGAATATCGAGCAAGCAAGCTAGGCACCTAAATGATGATTTAACAAGTGTAAAATTTTAAATCTGTTTCAAATAATTTCGTTGAATAATTAAATTAAATAATAAATTATTTCTTCGCCACATAGCCTCCTCCTATAAAGAGCATCGACCCGATGCTCAGCAGGAGACTTGCATCTTCAGTCTCAAGAACTAGTAATAGGGCCAGAGAGATCTCTTCTGGTGTCTGCGGTGGATGTATTCTTCAGTTGAGATATCTTCTTCATGAGGGCTTGGCAGGTCTATATTTACCTCGATGTAGTTTTTTCTTATTTCTACTGTGGTCGGCAAGGGAGGATTTTAAAACTTGGCGCCCTCACCTCCCATATGGTCTATCATCTAGTTTAAATGGCGGGCGTCCAGCTAGATATTCTAGCAGGTAAGAAATGTTGTCTGTTTCGACCGGGATATGAGGTAGGGCTTCGGTAGCTAGTGAAATTTTTCCTCGGTGATTCGTCATTGGGCTCCTGAGATTTGGCTCGAGAGTTGTAGAATACCATTTCGTCTTGCTTTTATCATTTTTATGATCTGCCTCATCATTTTTATGGAATTATAATACAACCATCTCCTTAATTCCATATAATAATCACTATTATAAAAAAAATTACTCTTCTTTTAAAAATAAACAAAGACATATTAATAAATTTAAAAAAGGTTTTCGTATTTATAATTTAATATAGATAAAGAAGAGACATAAAGCGGCAATACTGTATAAATCTCTAAAGCAATTCCGGTATAATAGGGTAAATTGCTTGCAGACGAAAAAAAAAAGAAGGCAGACGATGTCTCATAAACGAAGAGAGGTGGGCCATGAAAGAAAATGGACTATCTAAGGATGCAATTTTTAGGGTCCCTCCATCATAAATGGAGACGTTTTAACCGTTAATGTTTCTTTTTTTTCTCTCAGAAATATTCATAGAGTACTTTTTAAATTCCAATGTTGCCGCATCAAAATATCAAATTGCGTTTTCATATAATCGCTTATACATACCATTTTTGTCAAAAAAAAGAAAGAGAACGAATATATGAGAAGGAATCTAAATATAGACCAAATTCAAATAAACTACAAAAATATTTGTATATATATGACATAATAAAAATATGATTTTTATTATTCATTAATATAATTAAAATATTATAATCATAACCATAATAGTTATTAAAATTGTTTTTATAATATAACTAAAATTATAATTTGAATAATCAAAGTAAAAATAAGAACTAAACACCGAGTAAATTTTTTAAATGTAAAGGAATCCTAAAAAAAAAAAGAATATAACATAATTTGCTTTTCTTTAATAATAATAACGTAGTTAGTTGTCTATGTATGCAAAAGAAAATAAATTTGCTTTTGAAATATAATCAAAAAAGTAAATATAGTTTTAGGACAAAAGTTATTATTCATTTTTACCATCCACGACTGCATGAATTGGTAACGTAAATAGAATATAAGTTTTTTTTATGACACTAAAATTTTAAAGTCGACAGGATTGTATTTTCACCCTGTACGAGAAATATTCCAGTAGATTTCAATTTCGTATATAAAAAAGAGAAAGCTTATTTGAAAATTGAAATAGAAATATATAATTGATGATTATTTAAAGACGTCTTACGTTAAGACCAAAATAGAATTGCTTTAAAGATGTAAAATTTTAACTATAAAATTCGGAATTGCAACTTGAAAATTTAAAAATTTCTTTATATATTAAATATATAAATGCCAAAGTAAAAAGACAGGGGTAAAAGTAACATATTACAAATAGAAATAAATATGTCAGATAACATTAAGCTAAATGTATGTAAATTTAACCCTAACGGAAGTCAAGCCCTAAAATCGTGGCTCAAATATTTTAATCAGAATACTTTCTTAGAAGAATTAAATGATACCTGGAAATAAAAAAAAATGTTGGAGATTTTTCAGTAGAAGAGGCTTTTGATTTTTATGTGGAGACTTGCTTGGATATTACAAATTGGCCTGAACTAGAAAATAAATTATTGTCTCATTTCTATAAACAAGAAGTTATCCATTCACAGCTTTTATTAAATTGAAATATGATCCAGAAAAGGGGATTGAAAATTATTTTAAGGAAAAAACGTCACTAGCTTCTAAAGCAAAGATTACAAAAGAAAATTTAATAGAAGGCCTGACAAATGGGTTAACAACTGATTTTAGAAAACTGGTTATCACATCTAAAGTGGACACTCCAGAAGAATGGAAACTTCCGACATCTTTAAGTCTCGTTCTTAAACGTTGTTAGACTTCTATATTTCACTCTGTGCTATTTAACTCAACTCTACTTCATCAAACAGTTTTATATTATTGTCTCCAGTTTGTATAGAGTACATTACATATTGTGATTCAATGATACATGTATATTATGCGTATAATTATATAGTTACATAGGTGTTTCTATTTTCCCACGGTTTTATAGACGACTCATGAA